ATTGAGATAAGATTTTTATGGCCTACCAAATCAGTGCCATAAAGCAATTCGTTAGACGGTTTCCAACTCAACTACTCACCACAAATTATTTAAATAAATATATATATAATAACTATTTAAAATTAAACAAACTATACAGGTTAACAATTACTCCCTCCATCCCAATACGTCTTGCTTACTATTTATGGTCGTTCTAAACAATAGTCTCATTTTCATAAATAATTATATCACTATAAAACTATCATTATTTTTTCATTAATATTACACAATTGTCACTACTTTTTGCACTAATACACTCACAATAGCATAAAAGTCTTTTACCCATACTTTTTATCCATCGCATGCCAAACACAACTCGGACTATAATTCTCTGGGACGGAAAGAGTACTATTATTATTTTTTTTTTAAAAAAAAACAAAAAACATAGATATAACTATATATATAATTGACTAGTTCAACAATTACAGTTCGATTTTTTCAATAATAAATTCCGCTATGGTTGTTCAGTTGGAGGATGACAGTTTCCTCCATTACAATTCCATCTACATTAATTAATAATAAATTTTAAATAAATAAATAGTATACTCCCTCTTTCTATTATTTATTAATATATTTATTATTTGTATGTAAATGAAAAAATAATCTTCATCCGACTAAAAATATATCCTATTTATTTTTTTATTATAAATTAAAAAATAATACTCTTTCTGTCCAATAGATATCTTATCATTTATTTTTGGCACACGAAATTAGATATATGAGTATTTTATTAAAGTACAGTAGTATAACTTATGTATGTAAAGACAGTTTTCTTTAAAATATACTCATTTCGTTTCAAAAGTATAGTCTTATTACGTATGTAATGACTTTTTTGCCCTTGCGAGTATATCAGTGTAGAAAGTAGTGACAAGTGTGTAATAATAATGAAAAAATAGATATAGTTTTATGGTGATATAGTTATTTATGGAAATGAGACTATTGTTTTGGGACGAATAAAAATGTTAAATAAGACTATTGTATTGGGACGGAATGAATATTATAATATAAAAATAATAATGTGATGGTAAAGTAGAGATACTTTTGTATTTATGTGAAAGAGAATTTTACTAACGAGATTTTTTATATTATTTATTAATAATATTTTTGTAAGGAATTAATATAAAATAATTACTTTGTCTGTTCTACGTAACATGTTAGATTTTTTTTTTTGGTCTGTCCACACAATTTTTCATTAAAAAAGATTATACATTTTATTTTGGCTTGTTCAAGGATTTGAACCCTGACCTCATTATTATAAATCTAACCCCTACATCACCGGGTCATTTCTTACCAGATATAGTTTTTTTTCAAGTTTTTACATTTACTAGTTAGAGTTTTAAGTTTGTAAAAACAAAAAAATATATTGGGCTATACGAATTTATATTTAATAAGAAATATATGTAAAAAATAGTATGTTAATATTTTTATATAAAATATTAAAATTATTTACCACTTTTTTATTAAATAAATAATAAAAAAATTATTAATTTTTAATTCGATACAAAAAATTCAACAACTACTTTAGATTGTGACGGTGGGGAGTAAATATTAAAAATTTCCGTACAAAATTCAACGACGGGGCCAAGCAAACTTATTGCGTCATCACCAAAATTAATAATTAATAATAATATAAATAATCCAAAATTTTCTGACAGTAATAATATTGTCAATGTACTTTCTCATTTCGTGTTCCAAAGCACTATCTCTTCTTTTCTCATCTGCAATCATTTAACCTGGAGAAAAATTCAGAGTTGTACGCAGTGCATCGCGGTTTGTACAGTGGATATAATTAATTTGGGAGGCTGGTCTGGTCTGGTCTGGAGTTGAAGTCCCTGGCCTTGCTCTGACTTATTAAGGATGTCGTAAGAGTAATTAATATTCCATTAATAATAAATGAGGAAAGTTGTTACAAATATTGCAGAAACATTTATGGTTAGGTTCCTTGGCTGGCTCGACTCCCAATTGTCCTTTAGACTAATTAAACTCGTTTAAATGTTTTTTTTTTTTTTGCCACATTTCATGTTTTTTTTTTTTTTTTTTTTAATCTGTTCCACTTATTTTGTTATTATTTTAGAAAAATGTTATACATTTTAATTTTATTTTAAAAAAATTAATTTATAATTTTTTTAAATTTTAATTATAATAATTATTTATTTTATTTTTAATCTATAATTATTTTTATTATACGATAATTATTTTCATTAATATATTTTTAATTATTTACTAATTATATTCTTTTAAATTCCTGTGTATACCGTATTTCAGATAAAAAAAATATTATTATTATTTTTTGAATAAAATAAAATATAAAGTGCTTAATCAATTTATAAAAAATAAATAATAAAAAAGCGGGCGAAAGGTTCCGTACAGGTAACAAGAACGGGAAAGGACGGTTACAGGCTGGAGAGAACTGAGACTGCTGCTGCTGCCTATTATGAATTTTGTCGTTTTCCCCAAATCAGCAATTCGATGCTAAAGTAATTTCTAATAAAACATTCATTTATTGTATCGATATTATCCTTTTTGTCTCATTCATATTTTATATTTAAAAAAATAATTATATACTATTTTAAATTTTTAAATTTATAATCGGTTAATTTAGACTAATTAATTAGTTTAATTTAAATATATAATTATTTATATTTTAAAATAATTATTTTTACTAATATATTTTAATTATATAATAATTATATTTATCATAAATGATCATATCTACAGTAATCAAAAGACAATAGCCGGGACCGGGGAGTAATACTAATGCTCCACCAAGTCATATAAATAGAGTGAATATTATTATAAAATACTAAGTCATATAAATAGAGTGAACATTACTTCATCTGTTTTAAAATAGTTTAAGTTGTATTTGATACGAGATTTAATGATATTGATATTATATTAGTAGTGGATAAAAAATACGGATAAAATTTTGTCTTTGTGAGTGTATTAGTGTAAAAAGTAGCGTCAATTTTGTAATAATAATGAAAAAGTAAGGGTAGTTTTATAGTGATATGGTTATTTCTGAAAATGAGACTATTGTTTTGAAACAAACAAAATAATAAATAAGACTATTGTATTATAAAATGCTCTCCAACTAGGTAAGGGGATGTTGTCCATCTTTGAATTTTTGAATATTACCATGTCCACATAGCATATATATACATATATATATATATATATATATAGTAAGTATTATTATTACTTCATCTCTCTTTTAAAATTATGCTAATTTTTTATTCTTATTTAATATTTTTTTAAAAAATATTTTAATTTCTTCATTTAGTAATCCAATATATATATTTTTTTGGAAATTTTATTTTATTATTATTATTATTTTTTTTTAAATTTAATAAATAAACAAAAATAATAAGCACAATTTTAAGAGAGAAAAAATACAAAAAAACAAGGGCCAAAATTGACGGACGGACTAGTACTCTCTCTGTCTCAAATAAGGTGCAATATTTATTTTTAGCACGGGTTTTTAGGTGGGGTAGTATTAAGTATAATAATTTAAAAATTAGGTGATGCGATGGAGAGAGAAATATATATTTTATTTTTTTGTTTGAACGATGTGATGAGATAAAGTGTGGCGTAGAGATTATGTATAATTAATTATTTCATATTTTGAAAATATTGCAGGGTATTTGAGACATATAAAAAAAAAAATTGTATAGTATTTGAGACGGAGAAAGTACTATTTTTTTATATTTCTCTTGCTATAAAATGTAAAAAGTACCAAAAAATTTTGAATACAAATTTGAAATATACAAGAAGTATTATTTATTCGATGATACTCTCCCATAGTATAAATTTGTACTCACTTTTATTTTTTGTCCTCACCTAAAAAGATTAATTTTTTTTTTTATTTAGTAAAAAAACAAGCTTTGTTTTGTATTTTTTTACTATAAATAATAAAAAATACACACCACGTTGAAATTTATATTAAAAAATTTGAGTATATTTTTTTAATAACGGAAGAACTATTAATTTATTCATAAGAATATATCAAGACATTAAAATAAAATTATTCAATATGAAGTTAATGTCTTAAATATTACTTCCTCATTCCTATATAGTTTGTCTATTTTTTCTATTTCAATTCATTTTACATAATAATTTTTTTTCTGAAAAATAATTATACACTTTAATAGTATTTTAAATTTAATAATTTATATTTTTTAAATCTTAATATATATACTTAATTTAGGTTTAATCAAATAGTGTTATCACAACAAATAATACAAACACAATATGTCAATACAAAAGTATATGTCAATATAGTACAAATATGACAATACATAATATCTAGCCTAGTACAACCACTATTGATCTCATCACATATTACATATTAACATAAAATAATAATTCTAAGCGCATTATTATACATATGAAAATTTAAGTAAAAATAATAGAAAATTATATATTAAAAATATATATTAATAAATAAAAGTTCAGTTTCTTCGATTTTAAACCGAACCGAATTAATTTGATTCGATTTATTTGATTTTGAAAGACTTTAGTCTGATTACAGTCTCAATTTTTATAAATAAAAAATCGATCAAAATTGAAAGTTCGAACCGACATGACCGAATACCCACCCCCGGTGGCAGGAGGGATAACAACAAAAACAACAGAGGTAACCACTGACCTGACCTGATCAGACCAAACCAACCATTAACCACCCACCTTTGTTTCTAACCAGTGCAGTGCAATTCACGCCAATTTAATACTTAATTAAATTACACCCAATAATACTAATAATAATAATAATAATAATAATAATTTTAAAACCTGTGTGTGAATCAGGGCAGGGTATCCCATCCCCATCCCACCCCACCCCATACACAAGTCAGTCAATCAGTACCATCCCCAGCTGGACTGGGATGTGACCCCCTCCACCCTTTGCTAGCTGTACCCCATTCCCATATTTTCATATCCATATATACTTATATACCCCTCAAAAACCCCCAATTTCCACACCAAAGCTATATCACATACCCTCTGTACAGACAGACACACAGTCCATCCCAGCCATGGCAGGGCCGAGGATGGACGCCGCCGATCAGATTAAGGGACCCTGGAGCCCGGAGGAAGACGACCTCCTGCAGCACCTCGTGCAGCGCCACGGCCCCCGCAACTGGTCCCTAATCAGCAAGTCCATCGCCGGAAGGTCCGGCAAGAGCTGCCGTCTCCGGTGGTGCAACCAGCTCTCCCCCCAGGTCGAGCACCGCCCCTTCACGCCGGACGAGGATCAAACCATCGTCCGGGCACATGCCCGCTACGGCAACCGCTGGGCCACCATAGCCCGACTCCTCTCCGGCCGGACCGACAACGCCGTCAAGAACCACTGGAACTCCACCCTCAAGCGGAAGTGCTCCTCCTCCTCCGCCGCCGCCGACAACGACGGCAGCGAGAATGACGCGCGGGACGAATCCCACCTCCGCCCCCTGAAGAGATCCGGCAGCCCCTCCGGATCCGACGTCAGCGACTCAAGCCTGCCGCTGCCGTCGCCGGCGGCGGCAGATGATCCGCCGACGGGGCTCAGCCTATCCCTCCCCGGAGCGGATTCATCCTCCGAGTCAAGCAATCACAAGAATGACTCGGCTCAGATCAAACCCAATTCCGCCCAATCACTGCCGGAAAAAAGGATCTCTCCGCCGTTCGGGGCGGAGATGATGGCGGCGATGCAGGAGATGATAAGGGCGGAGGTGAGGAATTATATGGTAGGCATGGTGCAGGGGGAGTACAATCATCAGCAGCCGTCCGATCATCACCATAATCATCAGCAGCAGCTGCAGCAGATGATTGGGACATGCTTCCAAGAAGCCAATGCGAGGGAGGGATTCAGGAACGGATTGATCAATTAAATTAAAATAAAAATAAATAATTAGGGCAAAAAGAAAAAGAATCAGAAAGTGGAGGGTAGAGGGAGGGAGAAGAGGAGACTAGTCTCTGTTTCTTGTTTATTCTAGAGCTTTAATTTAATTTTTAAAAATGGAGGAAATAAATCATTTTTGGTATTGTACAGGAGATGATGAATAGATACACAAGGGTTTTGAAATTGCATCATAACTCCGGCAATAGAACCCTAAAAAGATCATCAAGATTCAAACTTTATTTCCGATATAATTTTAGAAAATTTTACCAACTGTACAATACAATCTCACAAACAAACTTCTCAAACAAGCAGAAACATTACCGGTTTTGTTCACTTAAAAATAACTAAATAAATAAATAAATACTGATTATTTTCAACACCCAAATTCTGTATAGGATAACAAACTGTAAAAAATTTAGTTAGCAAAATAGCAATGTAGGTTTCAATGGAGAATCTTATCAGTTTGGAAGGCATTGAAAAAGACATTGATTTGTTTTAAGTTGAACAAAAGTGATGTGTTTCAAAAAGCAGCAACAGCAGCCGCATACTTTTTGCACTTCGGGTTCATTACGCTTCATCTAAAACTTAAAAAACACATGCTAATAGATATCTATCAGATATGGCTTAAAGCAGTACTCTATTTACACACACATACAATAAATAAGTGGCCAATATTATTTAATCATATATATATGCAATCTATGCCTTAACGTTATCAATTACCTCTACACACTATATAAAACAATCACATTATTATATCCCCAATACCTATTTGTTCATCAATTCAGTACACAAACAAATTATATAGATATAGAAAACTAACCTCAACCATAAGCTATATCCATCTCCGAGGAAAAGCACAAATCTCTCGGTTTTATTGAAGAGAAGAAGCTGCTATCATCTGAGTCTGACAACAAGGATGTTTCCCATTTAAAATTCGATGAATGCCTCACTATAACAGCCAGAAAAAGCTTCAAATGTACCTGAGAAATGCAGCTTCTGTCTTTAAGATGTCTTGCATTTTACAATTTCTGATTCCATCTGCTTCGATGTCAAATAGCTATCTCCAATGAATGAACACACAAGCCCCAAAATTTCTTCCTGCACTGACACGAGGAATTGCAAGGCATAGCAAAAAGACAACCCAAATTAAGTATCACAATGCATTTCTATAACTAAGGGCATATCTTAACATGTTCACATCCTTTTGTTTTTGGATTGAAGAAATGGAGTATGTATACAAATGTGCAGAGCTGTTGAAAACACTAGAACATTTAGATTTTGAAGAATCAGGGACTGAAATATCTATCATTGCAAACAACAAATGAATGCCTGAAAATAACAACATGGACTATTGCAGCAACCGTATCAAATGTTTTGGCCAAGAGAATATCAAAGCTACAGGTACAACAGGGATGTGTTGGTTGTTGTGTTAATGGTGTTTCCCCTAGCCGCTTGCTTCAGTTACTTTTGGGCCATCATAAGCAGCAAGGAAGAAAGTGCTATCATTACTTTGCAGAAACCTATGAGCAAAAACCAAGATATGCACTGTTAAGTTGAGAGTGCTAATCTCAAAACATAACATAAGTATATTCAAGAGAAACCAAAATGGCATGCAAAATTTAAATCTTGTGTTAAGTAGAGCATCTGATGCATTTTTATCTATTTCTCACTAATGTTGAATGTTAAGTATACACGGTCCTATCATTACTTTGCAGAAACCTATGAGCAAAAACCAAGATATGAAATGTTAAGTTGAATGCTATTCTTAAAACATAGCATGCATAAATTCAATGCAAAATAAAAACTTGTTTTAAAGTGGAGAATCTGATGCATTTTTATCTTTTTTCACTATCGTTGAATATGAAGAATACATCTTAGCTTTGTAGTGAAGTTATTAACTAAATATTAAAATCAGGAGAGTTTTAAGCAAGAACCAGAAGTATCAATTTCATGACATAAAATGAAAGAATAGACCGATAAAAGCTCGTACTTGAGAAATTCGATCAATTTCTGTTGCAAACGAATCAAAGTCTCCTCTTCAATTTTCATGTATGCCAACAACTCTGGCAACTTCACTGCAAATAATGGGGGAAATAGAAGCACAATTCAAGATCTGATAGAAACAAACAATAAAGAATCTCTTTTGCCAATTCAGTGTATGAAATTCATCACAACATATGGATATAGCTCAGATCACATATCTCCATCTAATATTCAGTTTGCTTAAAAAAGAAGAAAAAGAATGAGCATATACCAAAGAGGCGCAACAAATGTTCGGCTCCATAGACTGTGGATGGAGACACATTATCTGACACTGCCTCCCGATACTGTTGGCGCTCTTTTTTGTACAAAAGATTGACTGGTAATGCTTTGTCAAAATAACTTCTTAACCCGTTCAAAATTTCTTTAATTGAATCCGCCATCCTGTTTTGACCAAGAATTATAAATTAACACCAACTCATTTTACAAGTAAATATTTTGAGAGAGAAAAAAAAAAAAAAAACAGAAGAGGCACTCTTGGAGGTGTAAATGTCATATTTATAACACAAACTGATGGTAGAAATGTTATGTTTGTTAAAACAAACCAACAGGAAGCTAAAATGTTCATAAAGAAGAAAAACAAAAAGTCACAACAAATTCCATAATTCAACCTTAATTTCACTTTTAAGTAAAAAGGTTAAAATGTAAGAAATGAAATAAAGGCGGGCAGCACTGGATAGCTTAGCTAGCCATCAGCTTCCATTTTGACCATCTTACTTTTACCAACTCACAAAAGTTATAAACTAAGATACATGTTGATAAATTAACTTTCTAATATTCATTTGTTCACTAGAAGTTGTTGTTTTTATCACCGAATTGAATTTAGGGCTAGAAAAGCGTTCGTGAATATTTCAGAAATTGTCAATTATCAGGATGGAAATCAAGAATAAGTTATAATAACATAAAGTTGGGCACAAAAGAACTCACATGCCCTTCTTTGACCGATGTTCAAGATATTTTGCCAGTATATCATCAACATTTGGAGATCTTGGGAGTTTCACGAGCTGCAAGAGAGAAGCTTCAATGTAAATTTTACTCACTTTACAACATATATTATGCAATTTCAGTGCAAATTTAAACAATTGTTACTAAAATAAATCCATAGTAAACTCTCAAATGCTTCAAAACTCCATTTAGCAAGAGGCAGGAAAAATATTAATAGTATGCATCATACAACGAACAAGAAATAGCCAGAGTCCAGGATTATTTCCAGCATTAAAATTAGAGTTGAAACAACAAAACCCTAGAATGCTTTTCTGCAGCACCATCACATTGTCACAGTAACAAGCTAGTTTGTGAGACACCAGATTGATCTTTATACCTAGCTAATCAGAATTAAGAATATCACCACATTTCGTCGAACAGATTCAGTTATTCAAATACAATTTCTATTTAACATCATAAATCATAATTATATAGTTCAACTTAATCCGAACATAGACCAATACAGTTTCTTCACAGGAACAATTATTTTGTGCAATTGGCATCTGATAAATAAGAGATTCCCACTCTATGCATGATTGTTTCTCATAAAAATCTTATTATTGTTTTCACTAATCTATATGCAACACGAGAAATATTTTTCTTCCTATTCTTAATAGTAATTGGGCATGCGATGCTGATGAACCCAAGTACCTTGTTCTGCTGAGTGATAAACTCCCAATCATCAACTAATCGCTTCTTCAGATTCGGTGGAATGTGGATCTTGATGAGTTTCTCTGCTGCTGGATTGACCTAACAATGTAAACAGCAAAAGTAAGGCTATGAATGATTCTATTTTATATCTTTCTTTCTTTCTTTCTTTCATTTTTCTTTCTTTTTTTTTTTTTTTTCGCAATGCATCTACAATAACCTATTTTTTTACTTTTAATTTAGATAATATTTCGATATGATATTCTGTGAGATGAAAGAAAATATTTTTATTAGAAACTATGCTGGCTGAATAGTGTTGATTTAGGTTTGAAACCCAAACCAAACACACCCAATATTCTTCTATATATGTACTGACTCCCTATTCCTTACAATCAATGTGTATGAACTCAATCAAATATAGACTCATACATAGCTTCCCATTTTTCACAGCTCTATAAGGGTAATGGGCTGTGCTTTTACATTATATAATACACACCCTATGGCCCCTTACTCCCTTTAATGTTAATGCAATGTGATAAAACTACGAGATGATACCTTAGAAATGTTAGGAGATTGATTTCTTCTCATCAAAATATAAAGTGGCATAGAGTGATGAGTATTCAGTTCCTCTATTTAAACTCCTTTATGAATTAGTTGTTTCTTGTGATATTTAAATAGAAAATAAATTTTTAGGTATTATTATGTTAAATGAAAACTATGTGTATGATGTGATGTATTTTAGGGGAATCTAACACCCAATTTCAACTCAAAACCAAACAAACCCATTATGCTTGAATCAAAAGACATAATGAAGCAGAAAGAAAAAAAAGCATAAGAAGCTTTGCAGATACTTGTTCATATGATCAACGATAGGACATTGAATTGGAATAGTTCAACAGTTCAAAACAAACCTCAAAAGTTGAATCACCCTTCCGTTTTTTCCCCTTTGCAGCTACAATATCACGAAAAGAAATTAGCAGGTTTGATGGAAAACCATAACAAATAAAGCAAAGAGCATAATTTTTCAATAAAGAGTATGACTACACCTAATAATACTGCATGAATTACAGCACAAAGAGATGGCAATCAAATGTAGCCACAAAAGAATGCACACAGAGAATGTTCAAGTTCTATTTCTCAGTAATAAACATAATTCCCACTAAAAATCATGTGAATGGAATCCACAAAATTTTCTATTGATCCCAATGCTGAAAGGTACTTGAAGACAAGCCCCACAAATAAAATTGTAAGAGCAAGAGAATACACATACAAGTTTATAATAGAAAGCCAATCTGGCTTGAAGGAAATGACCAATAGAAACCAGAAAATACAGAAAGTAGATCGAATCTACAGGAATATACCTGTATTCTTTGCTTCTTCTTTATCCACTTTGGCATCTACAAAATGCTCATCAATAATAAAAGTGTTACAAGAATATAACCCCTTAAAATTCCTACAGTTATCAAACTAAGAACATCTTACCTGTGGAACTTTTAGATTTTGTTTGTGCTGAGCGTCCAGATTTAGTACCTTTGTCCAAGCCAGCTTTCTTTTCAAGGTCCTGTTGCTTCGAAATATTCTCTTCAGTAAGTTTCATCAAGCGATCCATGCCTACCCATTCATCCCAACTAATTAAAGATTTTAGTTAGTAATTCTGTATGTTCTCTAAGAGATCACCATTATATAGATTAGCAGGGAATTTTACAAGTGCAACTTAATAAAAATTTTGAAAAACATTGCAAAATTTTTGAAGGTATGTTTCCATTTTAAAAATTAATCAAAACACCAAATTAGATGGTAAGGATGATGTTTAAAAAATTAAAATGAATGAATTAATTTAAAAAATCAATTATATATGTATCTTTACTATTCATTATTTTTAGGTAACTTAAGACATCCAGGATTTCACAGACCCAACACACCTCAATGTTTCGGCCAAACAAAGCCATTCAGTGTGACTTCCACCAGATAAAATTACATTCTAATAGAAGACACTAGTTAAGTGAATGCATGCCTATAAATTACCAAAGAAATATGGGTATGGTAGAGATAGAAGAACTATAAAGTAAGACATGATGTAATTTTGTTCACAGAAAGGATTCCAAGTCATCATCCAAGGGAATAGACTAGCCCAAGAACCAAACAATCCAGCAACTGAACTGTAAAAAAGTGCATCCGTAAAATTCTACCAACTCAGTTGATTTCTCAAAAAAATGAAAATAAATTAAAATTGAAACCAACAGTTTCAGGCCAATGGTATTACTTGTGTACTTTCATCACTAAAAGAAGTATGCAGGAAATAAATAAATGAATTCATTAAAAAGACTCATAATGATCATCTAGACTTGGACAATGCGAGTGGAGATCATAATAATCAACCAATGGGTGGAAGCCAAATACAATGTTAAGAATGAATGTAGCACTACACATGAGTAACTGAGCATTTGCAATGGGTAAATATTTTATGAAACCATGCCCATAGAAAAGCAATTGATATTCACACCTACCAATGCCCACTTTCCCCCTGCCCCTGAGGTAATACCTCACAATTACTTTTGTCTTAGCAAAATTTCTTTTATCTAATCATGTAAACGTAATGCATCATCAAGCAATAGGAAAATAAAGGAGATATAAAAACAAAAATAGAGTGTCATAGGAACTTGATGTCTAATAAATAAAGGAACCGAAGGAATGCATGCGTGTGTGTCAGTGATTGGAGGAGCTATCTATTTGATTCTCTTCCCTCATACTCTTCAGATAAAGAAAATTATATGAAATGCCATGTCCATATACTCACTTTTTATTCCAACCCTGCAGACAATATAAAAATCCATTAGTTCATGCCTCACCAAAGGAATAAAAAGGTAATTTTACAAATAGAAATGACAAGGCCACCTTGATTAGTCAATTATAAACTATGAAAACACAAAACAAAATAGCATGATACAGTCAGACAGTTTTAACAACAGAAATCAGATAACTTGGAACAAAGAGAGACAAAACAAGAAGTTTCTTATAGACTTACGAGGTAGTGAAGAAAATATCTCCATTCATTCTTCCGGAATTCTGTTTTTTGAACCTATGCACCAAAAAGCAAAATTATGTTTTGAATTGTGAAGCTTAAGAAATGAAATGCCATAGAAGAACTAAAAATGTGGTACATAAATGTTGAATCAAATTTCTAACATAGATGATTCATATTAAAAAAATACCTACAAGATACAAATTTAGGTTCACAGGTTCATCCAATTTACAGGGGAACAAAAAAAATGCAAATTGGCTTGATTCACAATGCACCCCACAAGCATGAAGTATTATATCAAATTACAAAAACAAGTCAAGGTTCAAGGGCAAAGTTTGTAGGGTGAGGTGACTCCATGTAGTTCTTCAAACTTTTCAAGCATGTCATAATAATGACAGACAATTTAACAGTCGTTAAATTTTGGCAAATCAGGATGTTCAATAATTGCGAGTTGAATGCCCAAAGTAAAAAGGGACAACTTCGTATATGCTGTATATGTAAAAGGAAATTACTATAGCCCAGACCAATATACTTTTCTTTGAATACACTCGTGTCAAGGCAGAAATACATATGAATCTGCATTCATACAGTCACAGATGGTCCGTGGAAACACAAAAATTATATTGCCTATGCTACATGGGCTTCTTTTCCTTCACTTCTACAGGAGAAAACTCATAAAACGTAACATTTGAACAAACATTCAAGTGCACCATTAGGTACAAGTTTCCAAAAAAAGTGTAGAATCTGCTACATCTATTTTAAACTTATTATCCAAAATAAACAGACACTGAATATAATTGCCAAGAATAACACAGACATCATAGTTAAGTAAATGACCTTCCAGGCACAAATAGAAATGGCCGGCAGCACATATGTATGAATCTACAGAGCACAGATTCACAACAATTCGCTTGAGGATCAAGATCAAAACAAACACAAGAACAATATCTATAAATCTACATGCCAGCTAATCATACCTTTTCCTCTGAAGAAGTTATTCACATTCTAAAACAATGAAATATATCCTTTCATAACCAATAAGGCATACTGCAGTAAAAAAACTCACATCTACCTACAGTCCTACACTCACAACGCTGCTATCACCAGAAACACCAAAATCCATTAAAATTGGCTTCAATTTCCCTATAAAATGATCGACAACCGAAAACAAATGTGTCAACCAGAAAACCAAATCCCAATTCGGTGAAATCAACATAACATTAACACCAACTCATGACGCGCATCAAATCGAAGCAATCTAAAATAAAGAATCCAAACGGAATATAATCATCGAAAAAAATAATTACGTCACACAAAAACCTAAACCCTAACTAAATTCCACATGAAAATCTATAAACCAAAAATTGGGGCATGCCTTGGCTTCGTAGATACGAGGCCCATGAAATGCAAGAACCCGCTCCCCTTCGGTGTACGTGCTCTTCGTGGCGGAGGCCGTGGCGTCGCCGGAGGAATTATCGGTGTCGCTGGCCGACTCTCCCTTGGAACTATTCACCATTCTTCGTCCCCCCAATTTTCCTCCAAGAAATGGCTTCTCCTATGAGAACAACGAACGGTAATCAGCATAGATTCAAAGAACGGGCGCAGTTGCCTCGTGAAGATTGATCTGGCGCATGCTGCTGTATCGCGGTTAGCAGAAATTTTTTGTTTGTTTCCCACTTCTTTGCCGGATTTCAAATTAACGGGTGGAGCGGAGCGTCTATTTCTATCTACGCCAATAGCTCAATACTCCGGTCCGGTGCCCGAACCCGACCCGACCGACCCAATAAAGGTCAGTTAAACCGACCCGGAAATGGTATCCAGGTTTTACTATGCGTGCTTTTATTTGGTTTTTAAAATATTTAGTTTGAATTTTATATTAAAATAATATCGTATGTTTCACTTGTCTGTTACTTTATTATTTTAAAATTCCTTTTATAAAATTTAATCTTATTTTAATTTTTTAAATTTTTTTTTTAATTTTAATTAAATTAATTTATTATCTTAATTTTAATTAAAAAATTCAATAATTATATTTGCTTATATATTTTTAATTATTTAATAATTATACTCATTATAAATTTTCATGTCTACTATAAAATAGATACGATAACGGGGATGGATGGAGTATATGATAAAATATTTTAATATATATATATTTTTAAAAATAATAAAATAACAAATGATAAAATTTAAAGAGTTTGGACAAAAGAAACACATTTAGAAATTAAAATAAATAAAAAATAATAATAAAAGTAACTTTATTTATTGTATGTAAGTATTGAATAGAGGTAAATTTAATGAACATAATACAATACTGTATGGTTCCCATTTTTAATGTGTTATTTTGGATGAGTTTGAAAAAATTAATTTGAATTTAGTATTAAAATAATATTTTATGAATTGTAATTTTTCAAAAAATGTAACAGGCCCTCAACTGTCCCGGTCAACAACTATGGGTTGTCGCAGGTCAATTATGATACCAATTGTGATACTCCATCCACAAGCCACGTAAAATCGGACGTATCGAGATCGTAGATTTGGCTCATAGGTCAACACAAGTCCTTCTAACGTGCTTGCCAAAGACAAACACATTAACTTTAGAATTATTTTAAAAGGAATATGCACATTATTGATATAGTAGTTTATTTAATCAATTTAACCCTTAATCAATTTTGAATAGCCTAATACCGGCTCATCCACACATGGGAGTTGACCAAGTAACGGTCCAACCCGGGGTACCACATATCACTTCGTGATCTAAATGTTCAAAAAAATGATAAGTTGTGATTTCTTCGAATTCACTATGATTGAAATCATCATCGTTGTCGTCCGCCATAAATGGTGTGGTTGTAGATGCCCAATTGATTTGTCTTTCATTTTGATTATAATTTGATCCAACTCGCACATCATAGATATACAAAAATTTCAACACCTTACCATGAAATAACTATATTTAATAATTTGTAATGAACCTTTTTCTGAGTAGGTAACCGTGACTTCCTTAGAACTTCTATATATATTGTTTTTGCACTCCCAACATGGGTATCAAATTTATCCCCCGATAACCCAATCGTTGCGGTGTTTGTGTCCGTACTAAAAACTCTACCACACTTGCTTTAAATTGTAAGAACAATCTACTTTTACCCTCAATTTTTATGGAATACATCCATACTCTAAGAGAGTTCAGATTCATTTGTATTATAAATATACAATGATCGGACATAAGATAGTGGTAGTAAGAAAAAGTTAATGATTATCAATTTAAAATCCATAACAATAATTATTATTATTACAACAAATTTAGTTCAAAATTTCAAATTGAAGGCATCTACGCTAAATATTTATTTATATAATTGTTGATGTAATTTTTCAACAAAAATAAAGTAAAATTCAAAGATATAGAAAATATCCTTAAACTTGATTAATTAGTGCCTGAGATTAGGAATCTCTAAACACTGTATGGTACAGAAAATAAACTGGAAAATAAAATACTGAAATTTAAAGTGGTGATCCCCAAATCTGACTTTGCTTTGTTGAAGTTGATTGAAGATACCTCGCCAAACGATGATTCAAATCCTTAAATATTCCCTGGGAAACCGTACTGAAAACCGTCACCCGAACGGTTACAACGTCTCCTTCTCAACCGTCTTCCAACCTTTCTCATGCTGACACGTGTCCCCAGCAGACCAAAATTCCCTATATTTCGCTCCTTGAGCCGACCACAAACCTTCCGCTCTTTTGGCCCGACTTCGTCCTTCGTCCGACCTACTTCTTCGCCCGACCCCACTTGGGCCGACCTCCATATCAACCGCCCCCTGTCTTTGATCAAAGGCCTCCGCGTTTGTCCGACTCCGCCTTCTATCCGACCTACAGTTTACCCGACCTGCGGATATCCTATCTCGACAACTTTTCCGTCTCGAAGACCTCCCGACTTGAAAACCTTCCGATTCATCGTCTTTCCGTCTTGCGAACCTCCCGACCTGAAGACCCTCCGACTTGAGGTCTTTCATCTTGAGGGCCTCCCGACCTGAAGACCTTCCGACTTGAGGTCTTTCCGTCTTGCGGACCTCCCGACCTGAAGACCTTCCGACTTGAGGTCTTTCCGTCTTGCGGACCTCCCGACCTGAAGACCTTCCGACTTGAGGTCTTTCCGTCTTGCGGACCTCCCGACCCGAAGACCTTCCGACTTGAGGTCTCTCCGTCTTGCGGACCTCCCGACCGGAAGACCTTCCGACTTGAGGTCTTTCCGTCTTGCGGATCTCCCGACCTGAAGACCTTCCGACTTGAGGTCTTTCCGTCTTGCGGATCTCCCGACCTGAAGACCGTCCGACTTGAGGTCTTTCATCTTGAGGACCTCCCGACCTGAGGTCCTTCCGTCCTGAGGACCTACCGACCTGAGAACCTACCGACCTAAAAACCTTCCGTCCTGAATTTTCCTTAGAAATAAATAAATAAATTTATTTTCCTTGATTTCCTCACGGTGTCCTTCAGCCAGTTCAATCAACCCTATTGCCAGGCCCATTCCTCGTTTTACCTTGGGCTTTTAACCTAATTCTAAATTTCGTGCGTAACAACTTGCCCGCCGCCAAGGGACTTTCAAACGCCAATAAATGTTTGGAAGTTCATAAAGCACTACCTTCTTGAAAAACTCCCTTAGCAACTACACCAGTTACTGCAACACTCCTGGTTTATTCCTTCTTCGCAATACGAGCCTGTGTGAATCACAATCCCAAAACATTCTAACTATGGCGAATCAATACATTCCTGCCCTTCCTTTCGACGGAACCCTTCCAGAAGGTCCATTTTCAGCCTCGAAAGTACTAACTCCGACGATCCGTCCATATTGCACTACTCCTGAAGATTCAAATCGGATGAGGGAAGTTTTGGAATCTCGCAACGCCTTGGCTATCAACAATCCCAACTACCAAGCAGTTCGCATCCGAGACAGCATCAAGACCCATCTCACAGACCCAAAAGATCTGTATCGTGCTTGGTATCGACGAGTAGCAGAACACTTCCAGACCCAATGGCGATCCCAAAAGATCGACCAAGCAATACTACTGTCTACCATGCCTATCAACCTGCATGAGAAGGTGCTGTTGGCCATGTCCGCCTTCTGGAATGCGGAAAATGGGACTTTCCTTTTGCCCTCAGCCCCCTTTGGCCCAACCCTTATGGACGTGGCCATGATCGCACATCTCCCAGTCGTGGGTGAAGACCCTGTAATGGGAGCCCTAGATGGGCAGGAGCCACCAGAAGACCATCCGGGATGGTCTTTACAAGGTGTGAAGGAATGGGGTTGGACAAAGTTCGCAACCGACCAGCAAGGGGCCCCAGGGACTCCTGTAACCGACCGGGAGCATACTGCCTTTATTCTATTCTGGCTTTGTAGGTACATCATTGTTTCTCCTTCCAAAAGTGTTCTTCCTTCTCACCTCGACCTGGCCATTCATATTGCGTCAGGTCGGTTCTTTTCCCTTGGCACCCTATTTTTAGCCAATCTGTTTGAAGGACTCACCAGGGTTAGCCTTCGTTTAACAGATAACGATAATAGGAAATTAGACACTGCCGCGTCGGGTCCTTTTTGGTTTTTAGAACTTTGGTTCCGTCTTTACTTCCCCAACGCGTTTAACTTAGGATCTCCGCCCACTATGCCAACGTCTGAAAAACATTTAGGATTAGTCCTCAACCGACTCTGCTCAGGACGCAATAAACTCCAATCGTCCGATCCAATAATAACTGCCATTTTAACAGATACCCGCAGTAACTCTCGATTTTCTATGTATAAAAAATATGCGGGTTATGCTCCCGACCATTTTTGGCCCTTTCCAGTACCAAACCCGCTTCCGACTCCTGAGCCTTGTCCTCATCCCACCTATCCTTTCGCCTGGGACGTCGCCCTCAAACCCAGGTCTCTTTTTAGTAGCAAGAAACTTGATAAAAAAGGGCAGAAAACTTTTTACACTTTTAACTATGAACCTCAATTCATGGCGCGCCAGTTCGGCTGTTGCCAAGGTATCCCTGGACCCGTCACGTGTCCCCAAATAATTTTTCAAAGTCCCGACCGACGAGTCCTTCCTAATTCAATCCCTTCTTATATCTCCCAGCTCACCACGTATATAATTTCCAATTCTTATATTCCTTTCCGCTCCAACCCTGAGATTGTAGATACTTTCAATGAATGGTGGTCGGTTGTATGGTCCCTGATATCCCCTGATGAGGATCGGTTGCTGAACGTACTCCTCCCCCCCCAAGGACTGGTTCTAGGGGCGGCGATACATACTAGCACCCAAAAACAAACAACAGCCCCGGGAATCGGATCTGGGGGTCCCACGCGCAAAAGAAAAACTTCCCAGCTGCAAACACCCCCGACCTCGGAGACCGACCAGCAAACACTAGCAGACCTTGGACTAACTAGGACGTCAGCAAGGACCCGACCCCGAATTGGTAATGTTTCTTAACACCGTGAACCAATTCACTATATCATAACTTTGATTTTACTCATTTCATTCCCCAGAACCGACCTTGGTGACACCGACCATGCAGCCGACGCCAGCACCAACCGACCATTCAATCGGGCCTTTGGTCCAGACCAATTTGCCAATGAGCAGTCGGGCGGAGGACCCGACGCGGAGGCAAACCCCTCCTCCCGTACCGAGGAGTGGTCGGGCCAGGCCCCCGACCAGGAGACAATCTTTACC